AGATAGATAGATAGATAGATAGATATATATATAGATAGATAGATAGATAGATAGATAGATAGATAGATAGATAAGGAGAACACTTAATGCAACTTGAAGAGCACAAACTGCGTGCACTAAAGCCATAATTTAACATTGCTCAATAAGAAGTCTCACTTAAAAACTCATATCTTTCGATCTCGATAAAGCAGTGTCGTGCGCACACCTCATTAAGGCGCCCACACAAGGAACATGAATATTCCATGTAATCTAATGTTAATCTGACCTGGTGGGGTAGCTGACTGCCATCTGGTTGGGCCAGAGGAGGTCCGTGTCAACTAACACTCGTCGGTCACTTCCGTCCAGCCACGAGCGCTCGATCTTCTTAGTGCCCTGGTCAGCCCAGAAGACATATCTGTAGAAGAAGAGATAGAGGGGATAAAGGGATCAGTGAATTAGTGGTGGAGCGATGAATGGGAAAATGAATGAATCGTAAAATGGTACGAGGATGTGGATGGGTGGATGGGTGGGTGGAGGAATGGGAAAATGGATGAATTGTTTAGTTTTGGTAAGAGTTTTACGGCACTTGCAACACAATACGGTCATATAAGTATCGCAGATTAGAGGTGTACAAGAGAGTAACAAACACAAAAAGAAGGAGGAGAGATCAGCACATAAATGTCTGATAGGAAAAAAAGGAGCAAACCACATCATAGCAACCACCAACCACCCATGAATGAATTGTAAAACGATAGGAGGATGGATGGAGTAGATGGTGAGTCGATGGATAGTTAAGTGGGTGGGGGAAGGGTGGAAGTGCAAATAAGAAAGATGGATGGATAGATGCCTGAGTAGATGGGTTGCTTGCTGGGTGAAGGACGGGTGGAAAGGCGGGTAATAAGGATAGATGAGAAGATCAAATTGCGTACGGATGAATAAATGAATCCGTGAAAAATTATGGGTAAAGGACGACTGACCGACTATGTTTTACTGATGGATTAAATAGAACAAAACTTAAAAAGAAGGGATGAATAGTGCGCGTCCAGATGGTTTACGTCATTAACACACATCGTGTTATCCACCCCC